CTAGTCAAATCCCTCAAGCGCTCTGTGCCTCAGAACACAGGCTTAATAATAATTTCATCCTCAGAAGGTGGTGGTAGGAATTAAATCAAATAATTTCTATAAAACATCCAGACAGGTGTCTGATAGGTGAGCTGCTGGGTATGTGGTTATTGTTAATGTTTCTTATTAGCCTTGAAGAAAGCTCTTTGACCCCTTCAGCCTACCCTTTCCATAGACAATGGAAGTTCAGAGTCAGGGGCATCCACCTTTCCCTTTCATATCTGTTCTAGAAGGGTAGAGAGTCTGGAAAATACTTCATACCACCTTAGATTCTGTACATTTCCTCCTGATACCAGGCAGAGGGGCATCCAGATGAAGATAGGGTGAGTGCCCCGCTCTCCTGCCCAGCCAACTGGTCCAGCCCAGAGGTCCATCTAGGCCTGCGGCTTCCACAATGCATCTGCACACCGCTTGGCTGGCTTTAAGCCACATGCTCACTGAAGTTTGTGAACAGTGAGCAGACTTCAAACACCGTGGTCAGCTGCCATACACATATCTCTCACTGAGCAGAAATGTGCCCCAGAGAATTTAAATCTGCAGCAGTCTAGGAATCGAGCCTGCCAAATAAGTGCTCCAACCACACCGAGTGTGAGACCCTGCTCTTCCGTGATCAGGAGCACCAGGCACTTCATTCTTTAAATTTTACAATTTGAAACATAAGGCTATTTATTAATAATTCATTAGTACAATTACTGGGAGTTTACTTGTTGTCAGGTGCCACACTGAGTCCTACACACACTGGCTTCATGTCACCTGCACTCCATGAATAAGTACTCTTATCATGGCCAGCAGAGAGACCTGGAAACTGAAATTCAGAGATGAAACCATTGATGCTGGGTTGCACAGCAGGAGTGTGGCAGAGCCACACGAGCCACAAGAGGGCGCTACCTGGAGTGCCAATATCTACGGAGATACTATTTCTCCACATGGGCAAACTACTGGGAAGAGCTGGGCAATTACTTGGAAAATACAATCAATGCCAGAAGGCAATAAGGATAATTTAAACCAAATAAACTCTTTCCCTTCAACTGCAGGGCTTGGGCTCGGGTTTTCTTTTTCTGTCTTTTTGTTTTGTTTTCCATTGGCTGAGCTTTCCAAATAATTGTTCCATCTGTCCGCTTCACTTTGCCTGAGTAATCACAGCCAGAGGGCACTTAGAAGTCAAACGTCAGACATGCAGGGAAAACTAATGTGTGGAAGGCTGTGGGAAGAGAAATTGGTGTTTGTTCTCCCTCCCTGCAGCTGGGCCAGGGATCTGGAAGTCAATTATAAGCACCAGTTGCCCCAGGGAGGAAGCTACTGTTTGGGAATGGGAATGGGAGTGGGGGAAGGACTTGGTAGACCTCGCTGTCAGGAGCGTCGGCTCCCCAAATCAAATGTGTTTAGCGATGGATTAAGTAGAGAGATCATAGCCCAGCCAGACAGGAAATGAAAACCAGAAACCTGTAGTAGCATTTACTGTGCCATGAACTCTGAGTTAGACCCTTGGCTAAACACTGTGTTCCTATTTTCATCCTCCCACCATCTTTATTTTACGGATAAGGAAACTGAGGCTCACAGAAATGAAATAATTTACCCAGAACCACACAGCTGGTCAATGGCATAGCCAAAATTTGAACATGAGTGTATCTTAATCCAAAGCCATTGCTTTTAGACATGGATCCTGGCCACTCTGTACCAGGGGAGCTCACTGGAGGTAAAGCAGAGTTCTAGAGAGGGTAAAAGTGCAGAGAGCCCAATTATAAAGCCCTGGTTATCATAGAACTGTCAGGAAAGTTTACATGCATGGAAAGTAAAGTGCTTAGAGTTAAAACCAAGTCAGAACCTCAGTTTACCGAAGCACAGAAAGGTTAAGGAACTCATTTAAAACCACAGCTATTAAATATGTTAGCGAGGACTTAAATCCAATTCTCTGAACCCAGTCAAAGATGATGCTTTTCCGTATGTTATATGGTCTCCTTTCTTTCATACATTTTTTTTAAAAGTCAGAATCTTGCTACGTTGTTCAGGCTGATCCCAAACTTGTGGGCTTCTATGATCTTCTTGCATTAGGGTCCAGGGTAGCTGAGACTACAGATGTGTACCACCACATTTCATGGTATAGTAGTAACTTCCAGACAAAGCAAGTTATCTTAGACTCTTATAAATTAATAGAATATCATATATTTAAGTTGTTTAGTGACAAATTAAAAATAAGTATATATAAGTACTATTTTAAATGAGATTAAATTGATTCCTAAAACCTAAGACTTCTTCCAGCGTTTAACTTGCTAAGGTCCATTGTAAATATCTAAGAAAGGGAGGCGATAAACAGATTGTCTCCAACTTGATCATGGGATTGTTTTGTTTTGTTTTTCAGATAAAGATTGCCCAATGTGTTAATCACAGGCAATGCCTTTATCTCTATGACCTTCTTCTAGGTAGAAGCTGGAGATTTTCTTAAAACACCAGCTGTCACAGTGGTTGCTGCCTGCTCCCTGTCCAACCTTCATATCTACTGTTGCTCTCCACCCTTCGGTTTCTAGTCCAGCCCTCTCACTGTCCTCAGGACACAGGGACACAAGCATGGACCTGCCACAGAGATTTTACTGTGGCTGTTCCCTCTCTCTGGAAGAATTTCTCCTTGCTGTCTAGCCTACTCCTTTTGGTCTCTACCTAAATGTCCATGTTCAGAAGGTCTTATTTGACCTTCCTAATAGCTCTTTATTTCCTATAACTGGGTTCTTTTGCTTTATAGACCTTATCACTGCCCAATAACTTGAATTTACTTTGTTCTTGTCTATCTTCTCCTCTCATAGAATGAAAGTTTCATGAGAAGGGCAGCCTTGCTTGTTGCCATGACCATGAACATTGTTAGCCCTTGATAAATATTTGTTGGCAAATGTTTTACATACGTACATGATACGATAAGTTATGACACTACACCTGCCTAGGAGTTTGGGGAAATGGCACAATTTCAATGACATTCAGCCCACTTCTTCTCTCTTGCCATTGTAATTTCCCTCTCTATTATTTGTTGTTTGCATATTGCTTAACAACACCAAAGGAAGCAGAAAAGACTTTACATCCTACAGAGTGGCATCTGCCTTGGCAGCTATTCCCCTGTTCCCTTTCCTGAATCTGGCTCCCTGAAGCTAAGTAGCAGTTAAGCCAGGTATGCCTAGTCATTTTGGAGCTCCCTCACCCCTGGTTGTTTGAGGAGACACTTTCCAGCTACCAGGACTGTAGTGAAAGAGGTTTTCTTTTATGTGGGAAGTGTGAGATTTGAAAGAATTATGAGGCAGAAGAAATTCAGATCACCAAAAATGAACCCCAGGCATGTCCAACACAATCCCCTCTTGACTGCCACATCTTGTACTTAGTGTGTGTATAGAGTTTTCAGAAAAATCTCCATTTACTAATTTACTATGATTAATGACTACTTCATTTACCAAAAGTTTCCTGAGATTTCTTTTAACCAGTAAGGTTGCCTCAGACATGTAGGACAGAAACTGAGTAGAAGAAATCCATTTGTTTTTGTTGTTGTTATTTGAGGGTTTTTTTGTTTTTTGTTTTTTATTGTTGCTGTTCTTGTGTTATTTCAAACAGAAGCACCTGCTGGGTATGTCAGAAGCAGGAAAGCCTGCATTCAAGAATGTGACCTGAGTTCCAGTTTCAGGTTTTCTACCCTTAGTCATCTGACCTTGAGCAAGCCCTTTATAATTTCTCCATATTTACCTCTTTGTTTAAAACCATCTAAGCCTCAGAGCTCTGGGTGAGTTGTCTTGTCTTGGTGCCCCGCATAAAGCAAGCCCTCTACAGAGTAGCCCTTGTTCTAGAGGACGTGTCCTGAGTAAAGGAAGTTCACGGACTTTTGTGTCCATGTTCTGACTCTTCGTTACCTCTGTGAGTACATACATCAGGGAGTTTTGTAATATTAGCCGTGCTTACCCACTGCTCTAGCGTGGCTGCCAGAGGCTGCCTTAGGGTCTTGGAAAGCAATTGAAATCACCATCTCTTACACTGTTTTCTATGTCTGCAGATTCTGCATTTTTACTTCCTGCTTCTGTTTGCTGTGAGAGCATTACTTTAGCTTCTAAATTTAGAGATTCTAATTGGATTCACTTTTTGTCCACAGCAAGGAGAGAACGTTGAGAACGAGCACAAAGGACAGGGATAGCAAGTAAGACCTTCTGTGCTAGCTGGCTGGCTCTCCTCGTATTTTGATGTGACACTGTTTGATTTCCCTGTTTGCAAATGTGCTCATTGTTTCCCATCTTGCCAGTTTTTTCATCATTTTCTTCTTTTAGCAAGAAAAAACAAAAACCACCCAGACTTCATTTTCCCTATAGTTTAATTGAATTTATGGCAGCTGTCACAAAATAAAATGAAAAGTTCATAAAATAAGAAATCTGCAAATCCTAGGATTAGGCTGCCTCTGAAGTTTTAAAAATTCTTCAAGGCGTTTATTTGCAAATTGGACACCATTTGCATATTTCATAAACATAATACAGATGTATTATTTATCAGGTGGTCTAGGCATGCCTGTAAAAAAGGATGATTGTAAATTCAACCTTCATCTAAAAGTCCTCATAAATCTGTCCCTTCAGCTTGCAGGGAAACTAGGTTTCTCTGCCTCTCTTTTCCTAGTCTTATCAAAATACTCTAGGCTCCTTGCTGAGTGACATTTCTGAGGATCACAGGTCTCTGTATTTTAAAAGAATGGCTTCAGTATATAAAATCACACAATACAAAATCATTTTCAGTAACAAAATTGCCTGATCCCATTGGCTGCATCCTATCTGTCCGCTGCAGTGACACCATCTCAGAATGTTCATGCAAGCCTTCAGGCAGAAGTATGACCTCACACTTAGGCAATTTCGGTTGTCAGTGACTCAGGCCTTGGGCTGTTAATGCCCTGACGGCTTATCTAACCTTTATCTACAAGCATGAGAAGAAATCTAATTTGAGCTCTGCTGCTGATTCCTTTTGGTTTCAGAAGCTCTGGGCCAGAGAATACCTACCAGATCCAAGGCATCAGAGAAAACAACATTAAACAAGCAGACTACCCTTCCCCTTCTTGCCACTTATGCTTTATGTAAGTGAAGCAATGTAGTAAGTATGATATCTAGTGTTTAATATGATTGCCTTTCTCAGCAAAATGTAATGACAGGCAGAAAAATACTGAAAATGGAGGTATGTTTGCTAAAGCAGCTATCAAGTTCTTTTGTAAGTTGTTTTGCTTCTGGATGCTAGAAGACGCTTTTGTCCTTGGAGAACCACAGGAATCTTCTGTATTACAGGGTGTGGGGTAAAGTGCTCGCACCCTGTCCTGGCTCCCGTCTGCTTACCTAGCATGTCATGTGTCTGAGCAATCGTTTTTATCTTGTGGGAACAGCATCCACCATGGGATTAAAGGACTCCTTGTCTTTCTGCTGTAATTTGAGTAAACAATAACTTACTGATCTTTTCACAGGTCCCGGTAGGAGTTCCAGGCTCTACAGGCAAAAGGATAAATAAGACATGGGACATCCACTCAAAGAACTCAGTGTCTGTAAGCAGACATATAAATACATTTTACAGAAATTATAACAATGCTGTATTTGCTCTGATACTTGACATTTTGGTTAAAAGTTGAAAGTACTGAGCCAGAGACTAAGCAAAATGGATTGTTCTGAACTGACATACCCCTTAAAAGTCTAAAAGTGATTCTTTTCCTTTTATTTACTTTTTCTTTTGCAAGAACTAAAAATGACTCCTAAATAGTGTAGACGTAATATCCTCTTTCTCCATTTATATATGGGGATTGGCTTTAGCTGTAGTGGATTATAAATAGTGGCTTCAACGAGTTCGGTTTTGTTGTTTATTGGATATATGTATGTGTGCTACGGAAAGCCAGAGGCAGCCAAATGCGGGTTTGGTTCAGTGACTTGATGTCCGGGGTGAAGATCTGTTTTTTTTCTTTGGTTTGCCAGGAGACTGCAGTGGCCACTGTCTTCATGTACGGTTTCAGGAACAGGAAAAAGAACACTACTACACAGGAGGAAAAGCAGCATCTGTATTGTGAAGCCAAAAATGTTTCTCATACTTTTTGAAGAAGTAGGTTTGAGTCACATAGTCCACCTTAGCTGCAAGGAAGGCTGGGGTTATTTGGACAAGGGTGGTCGGGCAATGCTTAGCCCTGAGCAAAATAAGAAGTCTCTTCAGATAGAAGACAGAGTACGGATACTGCATAAGCAAACAGGTATGCCTGACACACCATTTTACTGTAGGTACAAAGTAAAAAGACAATGCAACATAGCAGGAAGAATGATTAACTTTCTGAGGAGCTAAAGTGTGCTGCCAGAAATGGGGTTTGAGCTAGAAAGAGCCATTGTATTATAAACAAAAGCTATGTAAATGATGTTGATTGTGCATGTAATTTCAAAGTTAATTTCCTAAGTAAATAATCACTTATATGTCTGTTAATAGAAGTAATAAAACAGTAACTCATGGCTTAGAGTAGTTGTTTTTACAGGAAGCATGATCTAAGGGAGTGGGACAGAGGACAGTCACATTAGTAAGTCAATCGCAGGAATGACAGGCTGTTTTGGTGGGAATCCAGGAATGACTAGAAACTGTATAATGATGGGCGTTGAAACTGAATGAAAATATAAGCAGAAAAGTAATTTTGAAAGGCCCTGACACAAGGACACAGAAATAGAAAATGTAAACAGAGCCTTGTGTATCTTTTTTACCACAAACTGATGGTAAGCAATAAATTTCCAATAGAAGTGGAAAGAACAGATAAACCCAGTCCAGATTTCCATGTTCACTGAAGAGCTACTGAATAGAGATTCTGGGACCTGAACATGCTCTACAAAAATAAAAATTAAAAGGAAAAGAAAGAAAGAAGGAAAGAAAGAAAGAGAGAGAAAGAGAGAGAGCGAGAGAGAGAGAGAGAGAGAGAGAGAGAGAGAGAGAAAGAAAGAAAGAAAGAAAGAAAGAAAGAAAGAAAGAAAGAAAGAAAGAAAGAAAGAAA